GGGGCCGTATTCTCTGCTTTTTGCTAAATATCAACTCTCAAGTCAGATTGTTTTTTGTGGTTACTTCAACAATTTTGATCTCTTCATAAATACTTTATAAAGCTGGTAACTTGGGAATACGCTTCATCGTTCTAGCTAGTAAAAGATGTCCAAGAATTAATATGCAAAGCCGATTATTTAATATCCTCAACTTGATATGACCTCATAATACAACCCCATAACAAAAGAAGTTAACACTGAAAGAGGGGAAAAAGAATAGTGAGATATCTCATCCAAATGTACTTTTGACCAGGTTTCTGCCCCAGTGTTGGCTCACTTAATGTCTGCTGGTCAGTGTACTAAGGAAAAATGGAAGTACTTGTGGTTCAAATTCACTATTGCGGGCCTTCACTGATCAACATAGTAAAGGAATTACAAAGGTCTGGTTTAATGGTTTTGCATCGCCTGGAATTTCAGATATTAATGAAATGCTAAAGCCTTGATGAATTAATGCATGCAGGGTAAGTCGAGATTTAACTAGAAGTCTTCTTGTATGATCTGAGAGTGATTAAGATGGTCAGGGGGCAAACTATATTACTACCCAGGAATACGTTTTTGCTTATTTTGTCACCTATAAATAGCAAAAGTAAAAGCTATGGTAATTTTACACATACCTTGATTCAATTGTGAGGCCCTAGCAGGTACAAGCTCGCTTCCAAATTTTAAGGTCCGGCAATGTTCAATATAAATACTGTAATATCTGAACATGTTTAATTACTAATTGAAGAATTAGGCTTGTAATGAAGCAGAAAGCAGGTTGAAGCATGCGAGGGAGCAAAACATGTTGTCATGCTCCCCAAGTTCATTGTCTGCAAGGCATAACGCATGTAGGGTTATAAAGAACCCCAGTCCAAATCAATAATACTTTGGTATACAAGTGAGCCAAGCTTCAATGTGTTTGAGAATATCATATCCATCCATGATCGTACCCTATTTTCCTGACAAAAACAATCATTGTTCTGCTTTTCCGTTATCAAAAGATGACAAATTATAGTAATTTTCTATTCTATTTTCCCAAGAAAAACAAGAAATGCATTTGCGCATCTACTCATGCAGAATTCATCAAGGCAAGAGATTATTGCTCTTATTAGTCTCGAGACATCGAGCGATTTTATCTTGTGGAAGAAAAGGAGGAATTTGTGAGTTCAATCCATGCAAAAGGACAATGAAGCTTTGTTGTGTAGATATATTGAATAGCTTCTTCTGCGATTTAGAGGTTGCAAATTTGAGTCACCAAGAGAAAAGTGGAGTACCATTAATGTTTCTATCATGGACAAAAAAGAAAAATAAAGGGAATTAATTGTTAAAATGGTAGATTTATTTACGAAGTATGGTAAACGTTCCACATCAAAACCCTGGACGACAGGCAAATTCTGCCTCCCACCCTTTTTATTTAATTTCTCTCTCTTGTTTTTTGTTCAAAAAAAAAAAAAAGAAAACAATTTCCAATGATTGTCAAACTAGCTAGGTTCATGCATGGGAGTTAATTAGGGATTGTTTTTGTAAGAATAAGTGCTAAAAACAATAGTTTTATGTTGTCTGCGTCTAAACCTCCATTAATACCGGCGGGGAAGTATAGGTTAAATCATCCCTCAAAAAATGAAACCTCTGCATGTTACCAGCAAAAATGCAGTGTCCCACTAATTTTGGCTTTAGAAGCAGGGAGTATGCATGGCAGGAAATGATAGATGGAAATTTGTTTTTTTGTTATCTTCTCGCCAACCTTTTTTGTTTTCGTTTTTGGTAAGTGACCCTAGAGTATCTACTTTTGACTAATTCGCAGCAAAAAAGTCATGAAAAATTGCTTTGTTTACAAGTTTCTCTCTCTCTCTCTCTCTCTCTCTCTCTCTGATGTATTCTATTTATCCGGGATGAACCAAAAAATTCCAAAAAATAAAGAAAAAAATTAACAGGAAATTCCCACCAAGGCTTAAGAAAAAAAAAAGGGGGTGATTGGAATCAATAATTTCCAGCTATCGTGAATACTTTTATTCAGTGGTGGCAGCAGAGAATATTTGCATACATGCAATATTCACATCCATGTACAGTAAAAGGGAGAAATTTTCTGCATTCTGATTCCTTTTGCATAATTGTTTCCAGCTCAAAACTTGCAAGCTAATAATGGGCTGGTCTAACTAGATTGATGTTGCATTACTTTTCTATTTTCAATTTTTGAAACTACTTTTTTGGGAGATCGGAAACTGATCATTCATGTGATGAGCTGAGTCGATAACCTACTAATCTTAAGAACGTAGGGATCACCAAAAATGTCTGTGTACTGAATCCTTTTTAAGTATTCCAAGACTATCAACATCCTTTTTTGATTGTTCAGTGACTAATAGTAGTATTTGGAGTTATTTCAAATTTAAATGTGCTGTCCAATGGCCTCAAACCAATTGGAACAATTTGATTGATTGGGTTGGAATTCACCTGAAAGGCAAATCTTTTGCTAAAACCCAAGCAAGAGTTTTGTTAGCAGCTGCAGTTTATTGCATTTGGAAAGAAAGGAATGCAACACAATTCAGTAATGAATGTAGGGATACAAAAGTGATTAAAAAATAGATATTTGAGATAGTCAGATGCAGATTGTCCTGTTTCAAAAAAGTTAAGAAGACGGATACACTAATAGATAGTTGCAAAGGATCTGATTGTTACCAAAGAACATTTGTTCAATTTGAAATTTTAGTGTTAGTTGCTGTTACTTCTTTTGTAAAGTACGTATTTCAGATTGTTGTGAGATTAATTAGTATCGGATGTAAGTTGTGTAAGTTAGAGTTCTTGATCATTTGAGACATATCTTGTACGTTATTTTGGTTCTTGAGTATTAATAAATTCTTACTTGCCCAAAAAAATCGATATCACTTGGAGAATTACGTACACCTGTTAGATGATTTCGAATAAACTAAATTTGTCGTACACCTGATCATGGTAAATTTCGTAATAGAGTTAATTGGTGCATTTTACTTTCTCGCATGAGGCTAATATATATTAGCGCATTCAAGATTTTTAAAACAAGGAAATGCTTCTTCATCTTTACAACTATGAGTGAGAGTGTGAGTTCGAATAGAAACTATTAACTGGTAAACATTACTACATGCGGAAGTTGTCTGGATGCCCTTTCAAGTTAAAAGAATTTTATTGAATGATAAGCATATTAGTAGGACGCATTTCCTGGAAATTAGAATTTAGAAGCACTTAATTAGCTGTCTAAATTTTATAGGGATGATGTGTATATATATAAAACTTGACAAGATAGGGCAGGCAAATATATAGCGACAAAACTTTGCACTTTACCAGCTCATATGCACGTAAGGAAGAGTGCAAGACAAAGCCACAAGTCCCAGTTTGCGAAGAAATACGTTGGACAAAGGCAAATGAGATAATTTGATGTGTGTATAGTATCAGTAGGAGGGAAATATCGATCTAGGCAAATGAGTAGTAGTGTTTGCTGTATTAATTTGCAGAATTTTAACCGCTTCAAGCATCTACCCTTTGTGGCAACCCTAAACTTAATTTGCAACCCAAAACTGTATGCTCTTATGCATGACATTGACACCACCCGGCCCTCAGAGAATGGGACCTTGTACTAGGTATAGCTATTGTCCCTTTACGTCTCTAGTTGCATATGTACGTAGAACATGGCAGATCTTTTGTCTAAAGTTGAAGAGATGGGAAAAAGATTAGAATTTGCTGAGTTGCATCTTCCTTTCATCTTAGCGTCGTCTGTACAAAACCTTGGCAATAAATCATGCATGGCTGGAACTGGAAGTACAAGTGTATTCAATTGAACTTGACGTCCTAACCACGAGACAATGTCATGTGGAAAAAGACCCTCCAACTCTAATTGGTATGCATGATGATGAGGATGGTGTTGGAAAAAAGAAGAAGAATGTTTAAAGCTACTACTATATCTCGAACAAAATCTCGCAGCCATCCCCCTCTCAACCGACAAGTACATTCGACTACCTTCCTTCCTAGTATATTCACGATATCATTAATGATCAAAGCTCCATGAGAATACACCTTCAAGCGGTAGAGAAAGGCATGATTAATTAATTAGAACCACAGATATTTAGCATCCACTTCTGACGTAATTTTGGTAGAGCAGTAGTACACGTTTAAATTAAACTCTAGTGATCAGGAGAGGATGGACCTAGCTTGGTGTGTAGCTACCATTTTTATAATGGAAGGCATTAAGGCATTGCCACTGGTCTGGGTTCTTGCGCCATGAGGTGCAAGGCCAAGAGTTCACAACCCTAGTAATTCACCTTCCTGTCTAAAAAAACAGATGTCTAAAAAAAAAGAAAAGAAAAAGGGTTTTAGGAAATGGGGACTTGTTTTGCTGACCAGCTCGGTCTAGCTAGCTAATTAATAAGATATATGGCCTTAAGGGTCGTGCCCCAGTGAAGATAACTCGAGCGAAAAATAGGAAAAATCTCCAAAAATGTTTGGATTCACTCGTGAAAAAGTGGATCGGCCAAATGGCACGATATCACAATACGGGGAAAGAAGGCCAAAAGAAAAAATAAAATTGAAAAACCTGTGATGCTGATAAAGTTGCATGTTTCCCCTGCACAAGAAGCTCAATAAATTGACATCAAAATCCTCAAAGAGATCAACCAATATTTAAGCACCACTTCAATGCTTTTCCTTCATTCCCTGACTAATGAATGCGAAAAACAACTTCCAATGTTCGTTCTTGCCTCAGTTTCCGCAATCTGGTCCTAACTCCCAAATTGGCCGTGAAGAGAAAATCATAAGGCCGCGGACAAGCTGATCGTTTGATCAAATGATCCAACGAACCCTAACCCTAGCTACTAATCTTGACACGCATATATATATATATATATATATATATATATAATGCAGATTACGAGAATTTCGCATGCATGCATTTAAAGAACTGGAATGAAAACTAGAAAATATATGATCAGCGAAACAAAGCAGAAAAAACAAACCCATTTGCAAAGGTCTAAAATCTCCATAGTTTGAAAAAAGGTCGAAACTAAGTACAACAATGTCGAAGAAAAAAGCTAAAATCATCTAGTCATTTTACTTGAGAGTCTACGAGGCACTAAAAGTTTAAGCAGGCTTCATTCACATGAACCTAATGATAACTCCCAAAATCATTAGTCAGTAACTAAAACGACTAAGCACTAGATGCTAAGTTGCTAACATACCCCATTGATTGGATCCATATGTAACAGGTAATCAGGGCTTCTACTCCTTTTTGGGCTCCTTGATCAGCATTTCGGACGGCACAATATCCTCAAGAAGGCCATTATCCACAAACGATGATGGAGGAGGAGGGCAATAGCTGCTCTCTTGAACTATCATATGAGCAAATGACGAACTATGGGTGTTAAAATTCAGGGATGCTGGAGCTGTTGGAACACGGAAAAAGGGTAGTTGCTGCAGCTGCTGTTGTTGAAATTGTTGTGGTTGTTGATGATGATACTGCGACATTGGTGGTGGGAAAAAAGAGGAAGGACCTGGCCCTGAACCTGAACCTGCACCTCCAAAACCAGCACCAATGGTGACAGCTTCTCCAGCACCACCACCACCATTACTACTGCCAACACCACTTGGGCCACAAATGAAACTGGCGGAGCTTTCCGCCACAAGGCCAAGGCTGCCGCGAGAAGTTAGCGGTGTAGGATGCATGTGAGTACCTTCGTAGGTGGTAACCACAGTGGTTGGGTCACCAGATGATCTTTCCACCCTCTTTTTCACACCACATGATGGGCTGGTGCAACGATAATAGCTCCTGTAGTATATATTCCAGCATTTGCATGAGCAAAAGTCAATTAAATTGTTTATAAATAGCCACAGATCAAGATTAGTATGGAAAATGATCAAAAGAAATAAATAAGGAGATTGACCAGTGTGAAACGTAGAGTATTTCCCAGCGTGTGAATGTGTGGGCGAACATTAGCAGTAAGAAATGTAAAGTGGTACCTGGGAAATGGGCTGTTTTTCACAGCTTTTTGGCCATACTTCCTCCATCTGTATCCATCATCCAAGTGATCAACCTCACTCTTAGTCATGAACGCAAATCTCGGTTCCTTTTGCCCCTTTTGGTTTTTCTTTTTGGGCTTCAAGCTAATCCCGGAAAAAGGAAGGGGGGAAAATATCACCTTTTGATGATTAAAAAAGAAATTGTAGGAAAAGCAGCACCTAAAAATAAAAATCCACAAATATCAAAAAAGAATTTGCACATATTCTAACAGTAATTCAATGTAATTAGATCATGCATAACAGAAGCTCCCTCCCCTCAATCCTCGTCACTTCCCCGCACCCCCCCCCCACCCCAACCCATCCCGGGGGCAATCAACAAGACGTATCTCCTTTGCGGGTTCTGTTCAAATCAATCATTACTTTCATTCGTCACAGGATATCAAAATTCCAAACTGATATGATACCATTTACCACACCACACTGAAATCTGAAAAGGAGAAGGAAAAAAAAAAGAAAATAAGATGTGCTACAAAAACAGTACAAGTACTAAAAAGTACTGCTACTAGAGTAAAATATTTTTGATACGAGGAAAATGAAAAAAAAAAAAAAGCAAGAAAGGAGAAAAAAAATAAAAAGCTTTACTGTTTCTTAGTCTTGTCTTGATCCCGATCTTCTTGTTCACCCTCCACCGGTGTCTTGTTCTGTTGTTGATCATCATTCTGAGCATCACTAGATGAAGTAGAGACGGAAGGCGAATTCGGGGTGGCCGGGGTGGTGGCCACGTCAGATGACTCCGGAGGAGCATTATTATTATTAATATGGTTGGATGGCGGAGGTGGGGGCGGCAGAGGGGACTGGGGCTGAAGCAGGGGCTGGGAAAGGGGGGGAGATTGAAACTTCATGGGAGGTAGCTGCTGAAATACCATCTCATATATGGAAGGGCATGGATAGTCCGGGACTGTTAGCATGTCTATAAATCCAAAAGACTCCATCTTCACCATATCATGATCATGTGGATGAGCAGCTCCACCACCTCCACCTCCATATGATGGTGGTGGTGATGATGCCATTGGTGCTGAACCTATTGGGATGTCATAAATGTTTGGTATGGCGGCCAATGTGGCCGGAATCGGAATCTGATCTGAAAATGTTAAATTCGACATGGGATTTTCGGGTTTTATATTTTTCTCTAACCTTTTATCCTTCTCCATAAAATTCGTCAATATGGCTAGCTAGCATAGATGCTTCATCTCATCATCTCCCTAGCTAAGAGAGAAAATAAGAAAAGCAGAACGAGAGAGAGAGAGAGAGAGCTAGGGTGGGGTGGTCGTGGTTGGCTTTATATATATGAACTAGTACTACCAGAGCACCAAGTGTGAAGAGAGGGGAGTGGATTCGAGTGGAAGAGGGGATCAGGGAGGGAGGAGTGGTTTTCTGGACAATAAAAGGTTGGCTGTGGGAAGGTAGAGATTCAGTTTATGACCGGGAAATACCGGTGGAGAAGGTGTGTACGGAAAAATAAATGACTTGTGTTTGGCAATTAATAATAAAGGACCGCCCAATGTGATCCGGTTGGCTAGTCCACGCTTTCATACCCACTTGTTGACCGGTAACCGGATGAGTGTGAACTGCCTTCTGGTTACACGTGCCGGAAAAGAATTTGAAAGAAAAATAGAGAGGACAATAAGCTTTGGCATGTGTGCGCGAGTGGGAATTTGATTTTGCCCCCCAAAAAAAAAAAAAAACACTCCGGTTTTCGTTTTCAAGTCCAACGGGAAATGCTTACATTCTTTCTTGGAGGACAAGAATGTCCCTAACGCATTAGTCCATCATTTTGCAAATTCTTTTTTTTTTGAAAAAAAAAAATCAACCCTAGCAATCTATCATTTTGCTCAATTATCTTGAAATTAATCAGAGAGTGGCCGACTAGGAAAATAATCATGCGATAGGTAAATATGGTAGTGTATTTTATAGAGATGAAAAGCGCATTATTAACAATAGAGATGAAAAATGCATTATTTGAATTGAGATATTAATTTGTGTGTTTGGATTGAGATAATTTGAAACAAAATAATTTACTTCACAAATTTTAATTATTTTTTTATCTTTTCAATCACCTTTTTATTTCACATACATCACATTACAAAAGGTACTACAGTAATTATCTCAAATAAATCATCTAAATAAACTCTTATCCAAACACGTGTGATTAAGATGTAGTATTTGAGTTTTTTTTAGGAGAGCATAGGATTGGTTGTATATTTACATCTTCATAATCAATTCAAACTATTTTGAGTTCTAGAATTATTTGGATTTCGTCACTGTAGAAGAGTGTAGACATACGTCTTCCTTGTAAACCGTTTCGTTTTACCAAGTAAAACAGCATAAACAAAATACTCCATAAGAATACGTCCATTAGTAGTTGGGTTGGGTGTCAAAAAAATTTTTAAAATTTTTTTTTTTTTGGTGGGTTTACTTTATCGTGACCTGTACTTGAAAGAGGTACGTAGTTCACCATCATTTTTTAGTAATGCTTCCAAAGTACGTGCTTACCAGTTTAAGTTCATAGCTCCGACGGATAGGTCTAGGCCCCTCATGCCTTTTTATAGCTATGATGGTTGTATGGTCTCCACCATGATTGAGATATAAAAGGGTACTTATTTTGATGATAATTTGGTATAACTAGAATGATGTTTTGTGTTATTTTGGTGGACTTCAAACACTAGCAGAAGGGACCCCAACTCGACAGCTCCAAGCCTCCAGGTTTTGAAATTTTTCGCACCACGAAAGCTACTTGTTATCGTCCAAATTAGGAATTGTCTATGCCCGAAAGAACAAGGTGCCTGATTTTAACTGCATTCCAAATTTTTATAAAAGGGGCCATTTTGGTAACTTAACATTCTCTTTTTTTTTTTTTTTTTACGTTGAGATTGAAATGAAATTTATTATAAGATTAAAAAAGGCGCGTTTATTTAGATTGTTTAGAAAGTCATTTTTTTAAAAAAAATTTTTACATTATCCGTAAATATATTTTTTAATCATCTTTTTATTGAATAATATATATCAAATCGCCATTACATTACAGTATATTTTTCTATAAAAGCTTCAAAAAATAGCAATTCAAATCGGACTTCTGTTTTGGGAGGGAGGGAAGTAGAGAAAAGAAAAAGAGAAAAAGAAGAAGAAGAAGTTGTTGGTTAAAAATGGAAATAGCCGCAAGGAAAAGAGAACTTGGATGTGTGGGAGGAGTGTAAAAGAAGGATTCACACGTGTGGTCCAAAGCCCTGACAAGTGTCCTTCATGCTGACCTGATTACCGCGTCACCTTCTCAACGTTAGCTTCCTCCTTCCCCGACAAGCCCACACCGTCCACAGTCAAAAATAAATAAATAACCCAAAGCCTCATTCGCCATTTTTACTATTTAACTCCCACAAATTTATATACAGTACATTTTTAAAAAAGATGAAAAATTAAATTGGGCTTAAATCTGGATGTCTTTCTTCAGTTCAGTAGTAGAGTTAACTGGTGCAGCGAGGAAAAAAAAAAAAATATATATATATATATATATATATATATATATAGCTCTTTTTTAGGTTTATTTTTTTTTAAAGCTGATACGGGCTGGAAATAGATTATATAGTAGATGGTTGTTTCTTGCTTCTAGCATCTGTTGAGTCTTGAATCTCGATGATGCCTTTGACCTAATTCAAACTAGTATGAATCAAGCTAATCGATCACGAACTTCCATGTAACGTATGCCGCCCCAACATCGACTACTTGCGTAATCAGTGACCATTTTCGCTGTTTACATCAATTCAAAGAAAGAAAGAAAGGGGGCAAAAATAAAAAATTTTATTTATTTTTCCAGTCAGCGTTCTTGAACAATTTATTTATAAATTTCTTCTCCACAACATCCATTTCGATTACTGAAAACTGGTCTCATTCTGACTTTTTTTTTTTGATGTTGAATTAACTAATTTCAACCACGTTCCTACTTTTTTGTAATTGATTTTTCATGTGCATTATAATCTAAACGAAAACGAGACGAAATGTTAATCAACTTCAACAATTTGTGGGTGCTTCCGCCATTTTCTTGTTCAATTCATTTGATATTCCTGCATGTTAGGCAACGCCTGATTTATTAATAATATTACGTATTTAAAACATCCGCGCTTCTCACTTGCGTTCTTTATTTATTTATTTTTAACATTTGCTCAAATGAATATGCCTGCACTGGGTGAACTTTTTTTGTGTTTTTTTTTTTTTTTTTTACAGTATGATTTTGTGGTTATGCCTTTTAAGTGTGAAATTGGTTGGTAATATTTACGAGAATAGGCGCAATGGATGAAAACATATAGATTTGTGCGTTCAATTATCAATATTGTTCCCATCCTAACATAATAACATGGCTCTCAAATGAATACTGCAATACTCTCTGTTTGGATTGTAAATTATTTGAGATATTTTTACTGTAACACTTTTTGTGATGTGATGTATGTGAGATAAAAAGGTAATTGGAAAGATAAAAAGGTGTGTTGAAAATTGTAATGATGATGTAAGCAAATAAATTTCGACAAATAATCCTCTATCCAAACAAACCTTGTAGTACTGGTCACTTCAAAAGCGTAAAAACTCATCCAGCAGAGTAAAAAAAAAAAAAAATAGAAAAGAGCTAGCTCAAATTAGTCCCCCTACTCGTAGTCCTCCATCAATTCAAACCAACTCAAAAAAAAAAAAAAAATTTCTAGGCACAGTTGGCATTTCGATTTGGACAATCTTTTTTTTTTTTTTTGGGGTGGCGACATAATTAATCAGTTAATTTATTAATTGTATAGCCACGATGCTCGGCTGTGGTCGCCATATAGCCACCACCACCACCACCACCAAGAATTTGACGCGGGACAGCGTTACTCGAACTGTTAGCCTCGTCTCAGCTGACACGTGTTATTTCTAAATATTTTCCTTTTTAGTGACTCTCTTTGTTCGTCGCGTGTATGTTTAGTTAATGTCGTCAGGCCAAGTTTCATATTTTCTTTTTTGTCAGATATATATATATATATAGTAGTATAATGAATGAATCTAAGAGTCTAGACGGCCCACATGCAACTTTTAACGCGCTTTTAGTATTCACCTATAATTAATTCTTGCAACATACGCTTCCCCGGTTCATTATTGTAAATGAGAGAGTTTTTGGGGCAGATTCCCGGCTGCCACTTTTATTTATGCGGATAAAATTTAGGTATAAAGAAAGATTTTGAGCAACCAAATATATGGTGTGATTATTGCGCATTTCTTTCTTCCTCGCCCCCACAGTACCCCACAACACTTCCCTCTCTTCCCGGAGGGGAAAAACAAAAACAAAACCAAAAAAAAAAGAAGAATAGAAAATTTCAAGGCAGCTACTTGATGTCCTGTGGGGATCCATAAACGAGGAATATTGCAACTAAATAGGTAATAAATAATGCATATTATTGTACGATGCCTTATCTTTGGTCAACGTGACGTCACTGACTATTCATGCACATGACATGAGATACATCACACGCCTTCTTAAACACTTCTCTCTCTATTTTTTTTTTTCTTTTGTATACAGATGAGAAATTCATAACGTAAAGAAATTCATTTGTTTTGATGAATAAATATCGTACTTTTATTGCTGTATTGGTTGGCGATGCATGTTTTGTCAGCTGCTATTCAGCCATAATAAATACCACATTTCATTAATGGCCCTGATTGGATGGCTTTTTTTTTTTTTATAAAAAAAATAAAAATTTTCTTGTAAGAAAAGTATATTGTAATAAATTTGATGTATGTGAAATAAAAAAATATATTTATAAAAAACGTAAAAAACTTTTGATATTAAAAATTATAATCCAAACACCACCTTAGTTTATGATAAAGGCATCATCATTAGAGCTGTAATTAGAAGATTCTTAAACTTGCGCCTGCCTTGCTATCTTCGCCTTGCCTCAACATAATTGAAGTTGGGTGTATGCATGTCTGGATGCATGTTCGCACCTACTATGTAGTCAATATGTAAGAATGGGTGCAAGTAGACATTTTTAACTTCATTGAAAAATGGTTTATCGGACAATTTGACTGCAGTTTGCTTCCAACTTACGTTTCAGACCAAAAATAAAAATTGCTACCAAAAAGCAATAAAATGTCTATTTTGTCACGACATCCCAGTTCCCAACAGCGCGTGAAAAAGAAAAAGAAAAAGAAAATTTTTTTTAGCCATTCTAGAGACTTGCACCAGCCAGCCAATTATATACTAATCCATTATCCAAGGCATTTTCTTTTTCCCTACCATGCTAATCAATCAAAAGGATCTGCAAACATGTGATTAGCAGTAACCTTAATTTTAACAAAATAATTAATAACGATTGTTATTACTGGTTGCATGTCTACTTTTGCGCATAACAGTCGTCGTCGTCGAGAAACTTCAAAGCGAGGACATCTTTTTGTTTCAATCCGAAGAGTGTAGGGGTAAATTTT